TACCAGTATAGGAATGCTGTGTGTTATTTTACTAGGGAGAAATCACTTACATGAGAAACTGGTAACTCAAAGTCAGCACTCTGAACATCTCTGCTGCTCTCCAAGATCCAACCAGAAACCCAAAAGAGATAGAGCTGCCTCTCCCCAGGTCTTTATCCCACATCCCACGTATGCACATGTAACCACGCTCAAACAGGCATGGTCAGCTCCGCAGGTGCCTAGTAAGTTCTCTCCCTACATTTGGTAATGTTTCTAAAGTTTCTAATTTATAGAACAATTTGTGGAATATTAGTATTAGGTATTCTTTGAAAGACTTGTGGAAGTCTGTGCTAAAACCCACCTAAATTTCTTTTTGGGGTTTGGGAGACTTTTGATGCCTTAGGGGTTAGATATGTATTTAAATTGTTTCCCAGATATTAATTAACTTCAGTAAGTGGTATCTACTGGAAAATTGTCCATTTTTTTAAAATTTCCAATTTTTTTGAGTATTGTTTTTTGCAGTATCACCTAATGATTCTTTGGATTCCCTTTGTCTCTGTTGTTGCATTTCCCTTTCTTTTTTTCCTGATTATTTTAATTTGTTAATCTCTGTCTTTAGGTCAGTTTGGATAGGGGTTTATCTATTATGTTGATTTTCTCAAAGAACCAACTCTTTGATTCTTTGTATTGTTCTTTTTCTTTCTATTTTATTGATTTTAGCTCCCATTTTGATTATTTCCTGCCTTCTACTTCTCTTGTGTATGTTAACTTCTTTTTGTTCCACATAGTCCTGTTAAGTTCAAGTGTCCTGTTAAGCTGTACGTATGAGACCTCTGTAATTTCTTTATGAAGGCACTTAGTGCTGTGAACTTTCCTCTTAACACCACTTTCATTACATCCAATACGTTTGGGTATATGTGTGTTCAGCTACCCTGAATTCTAGATAGTTTTTAATAGAATCAGTCCTGCTTTGACTCTGAGGTGTGCTTCACTTATGTAGGAGAAGGACTTACTCTGTTTTGATATCTAATCTGCTAGCTCATATCTTTTAAGTGTGGAATTGAGTCCATTAGAATTGAGAGAGATATTAATGAACAATGATGGTTAGTTATTATTTAGTTTTTGTGGTGGTAGTGGTTGTGAGTGAGTGTGTGTGTGTGTGTGTGTGTGTGTGTATGGGTGTATTTCCTTGCCTTGGGTTTTGCTGGTGTGATTTTATTTATTGTCTATCTTTTTGTGGATGTAGTTAACTTCCTTTGGTTGGAGTTTTTCTTCTAGTACCTTCTGTAGAGATGGACTTGTGATTGATTATATATTGTATGAATTAATTTTTTCAGGAAATATCTTGTGTTCCCCATCGATGGTGATTGAAAGTTTTGCTGGGTATGGTAGTGTGAACTAGCATTTGTGTTATCTTAGGGCTTTAAGATATCTGTCCATTCTCTTCTGGCTTTTAGAATCTCCATTTAGATGTCAGATGTAATTCTAATAGTTCTACATTTATATATTAAGTAGCCCTTTTTCCTTGTAACTTCTAATCTACTTTTTATTCTGTATGCTTTATGTTTTGATAATAATGTGACACAGTGACTTTCTTTGATGATTTGGTGTTTGGCATTTTGTAAGCTTCTTGAATCTTTAATAGGCATGTCTTTCTTTAGGTTAGGGAAATTTTCTCATATGATTTTGTTAAATATATTTCCTGAGTTTTTGAACTGTAATTCTTCACCTTCTATTCCTATTATTCTTATATTTAGTTTTTACTTAGTGCCCTAGATTTCCTTAGTGTTTTGTGTTAGGTTGATTTAGATTTAATATTTTGTTTGCTGATAAATTTATTTCTTTTATCATATCTTTAATACCTGAGAGTTTCTCTTTCATTATTTATATTCTGTTGTTGATGCTTATATCTGTAGTTCTTCTTCACTTAGCCAGGTTTTCTATTTCCAGATTTCCATCTCTTTTTTTTTGCTTCTGCTTCAATTTTCGGTTCTTGAGTATTTTCATTCACCTGTTTTTTTAGATTTCTTTAAAATATTTTTCCCTCCAAAACAATACAGAGAAACCCTGTCTCGAAAAACCAAAAAAAATTTTTTTTCATTTCCTCTTTGAGGATGCCATTATCTTCATGAAGTTGTTTTAATGTTTGTTTTTCTGTTTCTTAAATGCATTAGAATATTCAGGTCCTGATGTAAGATAGTTGAGCTCAATTGTTGTTGATTGTATTCTTTCTCTGGCATCTGGGTTTTGGATCATTATAGGTATAGGCGTTGAGTTCTGAGTTTGTCTTTGTTGGATGGATGTTTTATTCCTTAACTTTAATTTCATTTTTGGTGTTTTGTCTTCTTGTCCTGGATTTCTGAGAGCTGGCTTGACCTCTGATCTAGTAGCGATTCTCTCTCACAAAGGTGTCTGGCATCCTGGCAGCAAGCTTGGCCTTTCTTTTACCAGGGGGTCTCTGTACTTCTGACTGGAGTGACCTACACCTGTTCTTCTGAATGATGTGTAATGTGCCAGATCAGTGAAAACTAACTGCATTTGGAGGTAGAGCCTGTTACTGTGGTGGGCAATAAATTGGGAGGCGTAGGTGGTTGAATGGATCATTGGGGACAAAATCTAGGGAATGAGGCCATTCAGATGGCAGGCAATTCACCTAACTGCTCTTCTGATTAGTCAAGTGATGAGTTTTTATTTCATACCTTTAAGGATTAACTTTTTTCTTATTTGTTTGTTCATTCGTTTCAAAACAATATTTTCTTATTTTACATACAAATTCCAGTTCCCATTCTCTCCCCTCCTCCAGCTTTCCCTATTGTCCCTCAACCCTACTCCCCATCCAATCCTCAGAGAGGGTAAGTCTTTCCATGGGGAGTCAACAAAATCTGCCACATTACTTTGAAGCTAGACCAAAACCCTCTCCACTATGTCTAGGCTGAGCAAAGTATTCCTCCAAAGAGAATGGGCTCCACAAAGTCATTTCAAGTGCTAGGATAAATCCTGGTTTCACTGTCATTGGCTCCACAGACTACCCATGCCACACAACTGTTACCAACATTCATAGGTTCTAACTTGGTCCTTTGCAGGTTCCCCCAATGTCTTTCCAGAGTCATTAAGCTCCCACTAACCCACTCAGCTACTTCTTTGGGTATATCCATCATGTTCTTGACCCCTTTTCTCATATTAACACTCCTCCGTTTCTTAAACTGGACTCTGGGAGCTAGGCTTGGTGCTTAGCTGTGGATCTCTGAATCTGCTTCCATCCATTGCTGGATGATGTTTTATGATGATAAGTACAACCACTTTGGAAATAAGTAAGGAGCTTTCTCAGAAAATTGGGAATCCATCTACATCAAGAACCAACATTACCTGTCTTGGGAATATACTCTAAGCATGCATATTCATACCACAAAGACATTTTTTCAACTAGTAATAGCCAGGACCTGGAAAAAAATCTACTTGCTCCTCAACCTAAGAATTGATAAAGAAAATGTGGTAAACTTACACAGTGGAGTACTTCTCAGCAGTAAAAAATGACAACATCTTGAAATTTGCAGGCCAATGGATAGAACTAGAAAGAAAATATCCCAAGTGAGGTAACCCAGACCCAGAAAGGTGAACATGGTATGTACTCACTCATAAATGGATAGTAGACATAAATCAAAGTATAATGAGTCTACATTCTATAGATCCAAGGGAATCTAGGTGACAAGGAGAACATTAAGAAAGACATGGAAAGGGAAATAGACAAGATCTGAGAAAATTGGGAGCATGTTGAGGGGGAGAAGGCAAGGCAAAAGCAGAAGAGGAGGGGAGAATGGGATGGAGGAAGAGAAGACGAGCGAAAGGGATGGTTGAGACAGGGGTAGGGCAGAGAATGAGAGCAAGGAAAGGGATATCTTCATTGAGGGAACCAACATGGAGATAGCAAGAAATCTGGCAGTAGGGAAATTCCCAGGAATCCACAAGGATGATACCACATAAAACTCCAATCAATAGTGGAGAGGGTGCCTGAACGGGCCTTCACCTGTAATCAGATTAAGGATTAACTCTTAATAAAAGCTACAAAAGTACAGATTTTATATTTTCTGTTATAAATTTTTTATTTTAATTCAAAATAAATGAAAATAAAAGAGAGAAAGAATTCATGTAGAAGCAGAACCATATTTGCATTTGGGAAATGAGATGACAGGTAAATGAATTGGAAATTTATGGACATACAGGCACAAAATCACAAACCTCTCTTTTACATTCAGAGGATAGGGCAGATGGTGAGAGATGGCTGATGTAAATGATCCAGTTTATAGATACAGCTTCCTACCCTTCAACTGTCTTCCAGAATATGTATAATGCATAGATAGTTTCCTTAAAACTCAAAAGTTTTCATTTTCTGATTGCAAGTTTAAAAAAATGTCCAGATATGATTCATGTGCCACCAAGGCAAGGTCTCTGAATTGGTAGTTTTATAGCTGAATTCTAGCTACACTATGGAGAAGTAGTGGCATACATTAACAATACAACTATCATTATAAACATGTCAGTTCTTTTTTATAACATGCAAATTAAGACAGCTTCAGCTTCCTCATCATGTAGCTCTCAGACATCACATGGTCTCTGAAGTGCTGGCTATAGAGGCTTTGCAAGTTAGGTCTTGAATCACCAATCTATGACTTGGTGGTGCAGCAAAGGCCTCAGATGGAGCATGCTTTTGATTGGCAGTGAGATACTGTTAGGCTACACAAGAATGTGCAACATGAAAATGAGAGTATAAAAATGCTAAAATTCTTTTCAAAATGTCACTAAAAGGATTTTACAAACATGAATTTGGTAGCATTGATTTTGGCAAATGAGTTATTAACCTTTGATTCAAACTGTACAATGTTCCATTAATTGAAATATTTGAGGTTTCTTTTTCTGTCAAATATTTTTCTTCAAGTTTTACACAGCAATTGAAGCAGTCACAGGAGAAAAAAGGTGTTTAGTCTAAAGAAACACTTACCACTCTTGAATCTCTTATCTTTCAGGAAAGAACGGTGATGATCAGAAGGCAGACAGTAGGAGGATTTGGTTTAAGTATAAAGGTAGTCCCCTTTCCAGTCTATCTTTGCAAAGGCTAAACTTTAAAGGCTAACACTTTGTGTACATTAAAATGTTGATGATTCATAATAATATAAAAATGTCTCTGTGATGTTTGGAGCACGTTAAAATCTGGGATGTTCTTATAGAACCTATCATTATCTTGTGATGTAGACATTACAGGAAAAAACTGGGGAACTTACCTAATGTTAAGTAGAACTTGGCAGCTTTCTTTATGAATCTTCCAATGAATGTGAACTATGTTCATGGCAAGAAGCTTTCCTTTCTCTTCCAGCAGCATGGAAAATTGTTGATTAGAATGAGGACAATTCTCTATGGAAGAGAACTATGGAAGGGAACAAGTGAGACATGGGTATATATATAGTGTATATGTACATATATATGATTTTGCTTGATTTTCACTTTGTTAAAGGAATTGCTAAATTTCATTTATCAAATCCAAGTTTTGGATATGATACTTAAGTTTATTAATCTATCCAGAGCTATCTGTTTTGACTGATAAAAACGATCACTCTTGCAATTTATCATCATTGTAATGATTGAAAAAAGTGAGAGAATTAGGTTAAATGTGAATAATGAAGACTTAACCCAACACTTTTAATTGTGTTATTAATCTGATTATCTGAATTGTTAAATGAAAGTTGTTAATCACAGTTGTTCAGTTTGCATTTACTTACTTAGTATGTTTCATTTTTAATAAAATTTTAAAGACATTTTGCCCAGTTGCTGTTATCTTTGTCAGAAAATGGGCATTTTGAATTTGTGACTATCACCTATTGTCATTTCTCAAAATGACTTAATAAAATGGCAGTGTGTGTAGTGCTAAGAATCTCAATATTCAAAGTATTTGTGCTAAAATAAACTTTATGTGTATTTTTCATTAATTCAGCCAAGGGACACATACAGAATATATTATGGGATATTGAAATTAGCCCATGGAAACATACAATTTTCTGGGTTTGCTTCAGTTAAATAGAAAATGTTAGCACACACTGGAGACAGTCAGATTTACTAAAGGGAGGTTCCTGTCTTAACTGAGGATAATAGAAATAAAATACTGTGTTAGTCAAATGTGAAGGTATCTTAAGTAGAGTAAATATTAGACAGGTTTTGGCACATACTTGTTCTGATTCAATACTTGATTCCTGAGTTTTAGCTGAAAAAACCTTTTAAAATATATTGGTAGCAGGGTACCAGGCTGTATGTTTGGAAAACCCCAAACACACATTATTAGAAGTAAGAACTAGCTGTCTCTGTCCTAGTAGCTGCTAAGAGATCTGAGTGTCTTACTACAGTGCCTACTACAGTGTTCTCACCATGCAGTGTGCAGATGACCCCTTAGGCCTCACTGTTGTTTTCCCCACAGCGCACTCTCTTTAAATTATCCCTAGAGCCTCCCTTCTATAGTCCTCAGTGAGTGCTATGTGCAGACAGCCCCTTGATCTGTGGTTCCCACTGTGTAATATGGGAACAATTTTTCCATTAAATTTCCCTGCCAGGGTCCCCAGGACATGCTCTTTAGCAGATGTCCCTACTCTAGTCCTCACTATGCAGTGTGTGAATGAATCCTCAGCCCTTGCTCTTGTGGGTTCCACTGTGCATTGAATGTGCAGGTATCCACTCAGCTCACCATTTCGGGGTCCATTTTCTAAATTCAATAGGCAGAAATACCAGCAACACTCTATTGTCAGTCTTTTTCCCAACACTTTACCAATGAACCTTAGATAGGATTGGCATTGTAGGCATATATATATATATATACATATATATATATGTTAAATAGTTGGTCCTGAGTTAGGACCATAACGGTCTATAGCAATGCCTCTTTTTGCACTTGGTGGAGGCTGGGGTATATGGACTAGGGATGGTTGGTAGGAAATATTAGGTTTAAAAATGAGCTGATTAGTGACTTTGAAGATCAACTTAAGTAAGGTTTTCACTTTTACTCTTATTTTCCCCTTTCTCAGCAATAAAAATATATGAAAGCTTAGAATTAAAGTTGAATACTATTTTAAGTGACTTTCTGTCTCATATCTAATTCTACTCATTGGTGGAAATGAATGCCATCAGTGAGCATGTTCTAAAATGTTGTAATTATACTGATATGCAGCTTAGGGAGTTATTTATTCTAAAGACAGAACACCATCAGTGACTCTGGATGGCCCCATTCAACTACCTGTGCTGCACATGTATACTCCTTCTCTACACAACACTTTATATATGTCCTTGGTTTATCACCTACCACATCCAAACTTCTTACACTGTTGGGGTGAAACAGTATTTTCTGGCAATTATTCTAAGAAATTTTTATTTGCTTTTATCAAATTTTTGATTCCTTATTGCACTTTCTTCCTTTCATATTTGAGCCAAGGGCCACTGTTGGACTCTTGAATGATAATTGGTTAGCCTATGCTTTTACACACAGGAGTCTAATACTAATTGGGAAATACAGATAGTTCTCTTCCCATCACAACTATACTCTTCAAGATCCTGTTTATCCATTTGTGTAGGTAGAGGGGATCTCTGGTTATTTAGCACTCAAAATGAATTACTGAAAGAGTGTCTGTTTTCCAGAATAGAATAGTCAGAGTATTGAAATATATAAATATCTGATGTGTGGAATCCTACATAACAAATGTAAGATGCCTTGCATTTCTATAATGGATTTTGAAGAGAATGTCACTACTAACATTATTAATTTTATTTAAGAAATAAAAATTTCATAGTCAGTTGTTACTAATTATTAAATGTCATTACAAAACCTCTAAATATTTACCCAAGCTTCATGGAAATGATACTTCCTTAAAAGAAATTCTACAAATTCATTTCAATTATTCCTAGTATTCATTAGATGCAATCTTTATAGTTTGAAGTTTTTTATTTATTTGTTTTTAATTTTTTGGCTAAAAATTGACTTAAAAATGACATATGACTGTCTTTTTCTAGGGAGGTGCAGAACATAATATTCCAGTTGTCATTTCCAAAATCTCCAAGGAGCAAAGAGGTAATGTGCTTAGCTAACCCTGTAGTGGTCAGTCCTCTGCAATCCCATGCTCGTTGCCTGGTGTGGAAGTGGCTCCCCTGGATTCCAAACCTCATAGAGTGAGAAGTCAAATCTGGCTCTTCAGGTTCCTTCAGTCCTCCAACAGGGCAGAAGGGGAAAATGATTGATTCGCATAGTCCAAATGACCATATAAGAATTGACCATATATGAAATGACACAATTAAGACGTAACTGAACTGTTGGTTAAAGGTAGAAAAGTCAAGACACATTTAATGAACAAATCCACATGCGATTTTTTTTTCAATTTTGTTCACTTCCTGTGAGGCTTCCTCTAAAAGCTATCATAAATAGAGAAATCAAGTGTTTATTGACAGTTATCAAGAAAACAACAAAGTAATTCCCCAAAAGCATAGATCACACAGATTGAAAGTCCAAATCTCAGATATTTTCATGGAGATATTATATTGTAAGTGCATAAAGAAAATTGGTCATCCATTAAGAAAAGTGATCAAATTTTAATGGAAATTAATATATATGTACATAATATGAATACATCACACACATATATATTAGTCATATATGTATATATTAGCATGCCTTGATCACATTCATCCTCATTCTTCCAAATTTTCCTAGATCTAGTTACACTTTGAGAAGTCAACCATGCTAAAGTGGAAAGCCTCACATCCAAAGATATTTGGGCAGCCCAAATTGTCATTTTTGAAAAAGGAAAAAAGTTACAAAGTTGGGAGGAGACTTCCCATGTTTTAAGAACTGTAAGGTTATAAACTGCTAGAACTAAAAAGAAATGTCTGCATATTTCAGCAATTGAAAAAGCTAATCATATTAATATTTCAAGTTTACATTCTGTGTGGCCTCTATAAAATACTAACCATATAAAAGACTTATAGCTTGTTTATAGTTTTATCCTTAATTAAGACAAAAACTTGATTTATTTGACAAATGCCAAGGTGTATCCAATTTTTCTTATTCACAGCGGAGCTGTCAGGACTGCTTTTCATTGGAGATGCAATTCTACAGGTATACATCCCATTATTGTCTTTGTAGATGCAAACAAAAGCCAATTTCCAATACACTACGTGAAACTAAAGACTTTCTTTCATTGCAGATAAATGGAATTAATGTGAGGAAATACAGACATGAAGAAGTGGTGAGTTTACTTTTTTCTAATACTACCATTTCTCAGATTCAAATTAATTATGAAGGTACAAAATTATGTAGCATATTACCAATCTTTAAATGCCTTTCAACCAGTTTTTACTCTTAAAAATACACTTATAGGTACTGTCATGATGAAATGTATTTCAAATTGAAATATATATGTAATTTTTTCAAATGCTTGAAGGTCTATGAGAAAATATTTGATTTCTGTAAATTTTTAAACAGCATTGGGACAATTGGCTGTGTGTGTGTGTGTGTGTGTGTGTGTGTGTGTGTGTGTTTGTAGAGAAGGATGTACAAAGGAGAAGGAAGTGATAAAGGGACAAGGAGAGGATTTACCCAAATTTTCATTATGGCAGTTTCTTGCATGATTTTACATGTGTGGTGGAGCATATACAAACATTCTAATTTAATACAGCTGGGATATAGAAGCTGAGTTTCAGCAACCATTATAAATAGTTAAACAGTAGATGTCTTCTAATCCACACTTTCATAGATAGTTAGACCTTAAGGGTATGAATCCTCTAAATGAACTTTGGGCTTGAATATTTTATTGGGCATTTCACGTTACTCCTGTTTAACTAAACATGTCCATACCTTCCTGACCTTTCTCCTCTCAATGTCTTCTTGTAAAAAGAAGTTGCAATCTCAGAGTTGTTGCTTTTAATTTCCTATCCACCTATATCTCTCAGTCTATTTAACTTTCCTTATGAAGTAAGATTGCTAACAACCATATCACAACTTACTGTAATAGAAACTCCAGGGAATCCAAAGCATTTAGACTGCGAATAAAACTTTGCTTGAATGCACATACCTACTGAATGACAGCTTTTTTGTATATAATTGAAAATATAATAATAAATATCTTTTAAAAGAAAATATAAATCAAATGGGGGTCATATGTGTAATTTTCACTCTCAAGTGTAACTCGGAAGAAGTAAAACATATGAATCCTTGAGATTTTAAGAACTTTATCATGGACCTTAGCTACCCAAGAGGTTTCTGGAACTCCTACCTAACTTTGGGGTTTACTCGTACTTTTACTATTGTTTTCTGGAATTCTAGGCTCGGAAATAATTTTGTATGCCTCATGTATTGAAGACGATTTATACATAATTCTGACCCCAATTTTCACAATCATATATATATGAGAATAAAAAGGAAGCAAAGCCCAAATGGTCTATAAGAAATCCATGTATAGATGGAAAGCCATATAAAGACTGGAATGCTGACAGTTTTAATCAATACTGATTTTTATGGCATTTCTTAGACCATCTCCTAGTTCTTTTTTTAAAAATGACATCTGGGATGCCACAGTACATTTTGGGGAAATGTGTTAGAGATATGGCCATTGAGTTTCTGAACCATCCCAGCCAGGATCACACCTTGCAGTTCTCTTTTGGATAGAATAGAGTATAAACAAAAAACTTTTCTTACCCAATCAAAATTAGTTATTAAAACATAAATCCAGGGACTTTTAAAATACACTTTTAAGAACTCCGTGCAAATTTGCAAGTAATAAAATGCTTTAATATCTTTTCTTTCCTAAAAGAAATTAATGAATATGACATATAATATTTTAATTTAAAGGTTAACATATAATGAGAGATGGCATTGAGCAAGAGTTGCTAGACATTTTATATGAAAGCAGTCATTATTGAGTGGGGACTGTCATGGAACCTGTATGCAAAGCCAGAATCCAGCAACAATTCCAAGGACTATCTCAGAGGGTTTGAGATATTGGGCTTGTTAAAAGGCAGAGTTGAAAGAGATACTGAGTTGGAGAATATGGAACAGAATTCAATCCCCGAGGCACAGGCAAGGAACTGAGGGACTTGTGTACATTTGCATCTAGAACACACATTCTGCCTTTGTGTCTGACATTTCTGTCCTCTCAGAAAATCAGCCAAGATTGCTTTACCTTTTTGTTTTTTTTATTAAGTGATAACATTAGAAGACTTTCATTGAGCAAAACTAATCTCAGAGAAATAACCAACAAACAGTGTGTTATTAGACTTTCCAATGCATTTTGATTTCCCACTGAGAACATGACTCAGCTGTCAATTTTTTATTCAGAGCCTCGCTCTTCAAATACTCCAATGATCATTCATATTTGAAGAAAAGTATCCACATGTTAGGCAGGTCTGAAGCAGATAGAGAAAAAAATAGACCAGAGTCCCCAAAGTGGGGTAAAGACCCAAATTAAGCAAGCTGATTGAAAAAAGTTGAAGGTGAGCAACATTAAGCAGTATTTATAACAGAACAATAAAATTAAAGAAGAGGATGCATGAAGTAAATAAGTAAATAAAGGATACATTATCAATGGGCTTGGAGTATACGTTTTCAAATACAAGCCATGAAACATCAAATAAACTGAATCAAATTGTGTATGTGCCACAGTTTCTTTGGATATACATTGTGATATGGCTATACTTTCTTTTTCCATTCACCAAAAGAAGAAAATATCTTTTGTATTTAATAGTAGATGTTCTTGCATGTCTTATGTTAATTGTGCTGACTTCCTATTTATTTTTAAAAGTTTGTGCGTGGTGTCTACAATTCAGACTTATAATACAGAGTATGGCCTTATCTCAATTTTCCTCATACTGTCCTCTGAAGCTTAATGATTGTGATTCTCATGACATGTTTTGACTATTTTGTTGTTGTTGGCCATGAATATTCAATATATAAAAGAGTTGTATTTATATAAGTTGTGAGGGTCTAAGAAAAGTGATTTGAATTGCAAAATTTAAAACTGTATAGGTTTAAGGAAGAGATATAAAGTATGTAGAAAAGAAGAAATGTTTCAGATTACTTACATTCCCACTTTGCTATTGTTACCTTAAGTTCTCAAAAGTTAAAACTTTTAACATGATAACCAATGGAGTTCTTATAAGCTATTAACCTTGCTTTCATAAAGCACTGACTGCTGTCATTAGAGTCACAAGCTCAAAATTTTGGGTTTACTCTGGTGTAGACGTAAATGTGCTTCTCATTGTGCTGAAATGAAAATATCTCTCTTCTCTCTCTCTCTCTCTCTCTCTCTCTCTCTCTCTCATTTCCATCCAATCATTTATGATGAGAGACAAGCGATTGATTACTAATAGCAGTTATTAGGAAATGAATAATGAAGTAACAGTAAAAAGTTACGTTGAAACTTGCTTTGTGAATTTATTTTTTTTTTTCAGTGTGATGTCTGCCAGCAAAGAAAACTGTCTTTGTCTTTCTTTTTAGGCAGACAGCCTAGCAGCTCTACAAAAAAAACCTGATGTCTGCTTTTTACATATGAAATGAAATAAACAGAGAGTTTCAGCCATGAGTGAGAATCTGTGTGTTTCTCATAAAGCTACAGTTAGCCATTAACATTACCACAGATCTCAGCAGGATAAATTTGAGCAAAAAGTATAATCCCAATGTCCTTTGTATCAATTAAAATGATAAAGACTTACTTGTTCCCTGGTTGGTTACCCTAGGTTCCTAAATGTTCCTCCATAGTAATCTTGATTTTTTTGGGGGGGGGGGGGGAGGGAGGCAGAGGTTGTTGGTCTTCTGGCTGTCAGATAAGACAGCATTAAGTCCTCAGCTATGAAACTCAGAAGTTTTAATTTTCCTGTAGAATATGAACTTTAAAAAACTGGCCTACATTGCTTAGGCAGAGAAGAGCAGTCAACACAACAATGTTCACAATTTTGGCAAGCCCGTGGTATGGTAATAACTTGCTTGTACAAATAAATCCTGTCTGGAGGTCAGAGAAAGGAGCTTGTCACTAGCTAACAATAGAGGTCTGGAAGTCTGTACAGACAGACAGGAAGTGAGGTAGCTGAGTGTCAATAGCATATAAGCAGGGAGAAACAAGAACTTACTCTCTTGTTTGCTGAGATGCTAAGGAGGGAAGGTATGGCTGTGGCTTCCTCTTTCTTCTCCTTGATCTCTCAGCATTTTCCTCTATATCTGATTCTGGGTTTTTATTAATTAGACTAATTAAGAACTCCATTTACACTCTGGTGTTGGGCAAGTCATGGAGCAGTTCTTTGCCCAATGGTTAGCATTAACACTATCCAGGTAGAGTTGTCTGCGCCCCATTTTCTTCTTTGGTGACAATTGGGTAGCTGTTAGGCATCATAATTTCTATAATGTAACTTTGTTCACTAACTACATAAACTGTCAAATTCAGCATATTTCTGGAGAGTTTATGGACCATTATCTATGACGTATATGTGATTTTATACTTCACTTCTCGTTACTTCTGTTAGGCTTAACCTTAAAAACATATAGAGAAGTCTTTTTAATAAAACATGTCCCCATAAAATAAATTACGCTTGTACTTACCATGACTACAAGCATAGTTCTGAACACACTGAAGAATTTGATAATTTATAAAGTGAGTATTAACTACATTTACAAGCCTTAAATATCTTTAACAGTTTACAAATTGGTAGCTTTTATAAGATTAGGATTTTACAGTTTTATCCTGGTTAAGTTTGAGCTTTAAACTTGAGTTGATACTTCAACTGAAGATCCTTTAACACCAAAATAAAGTTTTAAACCATAAATAGTACAAATTCTAAACCATAAATACAGTCCATATGAAGAATGGGTACTTTACTTTCCTGATCCTTTTATAGGGCACCATTATGTAATATCACAGTTTGTTGTATGACACCGTTTATTTATTTATTCTAATACCTAATTGGATAATATTTGAATATAGAGTGTACATATGTATCTTCAATAAGTAACTGTTAACCTAAGTAGAACTTGGGAATTAAAAAAATATCTTATTCAAACATACATTGTTCCTTATTTAACATTTTCTAGAAGCCTGATATTGAACACAATTAGCAAAGACAGAAATGTGACATATACTTCTCAAACTCAGTTTCTGTTAACCTTATTATACTTTAATAACCTTACAAATTTATCGTCATATAAAAATCAATCCTAGGCTCCAAAATATTTTCAAGACATGCTGTTGCCTCCTTAGTCTAG